CGACTCAATACCAAATAAATTGTTTTACAAGTATACAGGAATACCTGTACAACTTCAAGGAATACTATATCCAACAGTGTAAGTACTGGATTGAAACAGCCCATCTAAGTATAGAGGTGATTTTATGAGCGCCTCACTATATTTTTTACCTTTACGGCGGTCCAATTAGAGATTGATATTCTTAGGTGTGTATGCAACTATGACTACTATTCGTGAGCTCAAGCAGATCGCGAGACAGAGAGGGGTGATTGGTTACTCTAGAATGAGGAAGCCAGCCTTGCTGAGATTACTTAACATACAAGCCCCTCCTACGGTAAAACAATTAAAAGTCCAAGCAAAACAGCTTGGGCTCACGGGTTATTCCAACCTGGGGAGAGCCGGGTTAGTCGCATTGTTATCATTTGCCCCCGTAGCGCTGAACGGTAACCGTCAGCTCCCCACTGTAAAACAATTAAAAGCTGAGGTACGCAATTTGGGTTTAGGTGGTTATTCCCGTATGAGGAAACCACAGCTTTTAGAACTATTACGGCAGAATAGAGCTATTGACCTACAGTTCATTCGCACTGAGCGCGCTGTAGGTAACTATTTGAGAGGCTGGTGCATGCATGTTGATAGGAACATAGACATCACAGATATCAAGCCTCTGATAGCTGATAAAGTCAACCAGGAACTAAACGATTTGGGAAGTATAAAATTTCAAATCACAGTGAAAATGTCACTCGATAAACAGGCAGGGGCTGGGGTCACTGAGTATGTTCAGCCTTACTTCCGAGGTAGGCAAGAAGTCGTCACGCATACAGAGACCATAGACGCATCAATCGATACCAGTTTTCAGCAGATACGAGAATACCTAGAACGCTACACACACTTGGGGTCCGGGTGGGCTGTAGATAAAATCGATAATGTCTATCTAGACATAGCTAACTACGTGCCGTTTAGAGGTGGGTCATACCTAGACTTGTCCCCCTACTATAGGAAAAAACATGCCATGGTCAACGTCAAGAATAGAGGAGACGATTGCCTGAGGGTAGCTACCAGGTCAGCCTTTTTTCCAGCTGACACTCATTCGGACAGGCTTTCTAGCTATCCCCAAGACGATGGGCTCAACTGGGATGGTATAGATGAACCAACCCCCATATCCCAGATCACTAAAGTAGAAAAACAGAATAATCTAGCTTATAACGTCTTTGGGCACGAAGGCAACACAACAATAGTACACAGGGTCAGCCCAGTGTTGGGGGAGGAGGGTCGCCAAGTTATCAATATATTCATGATCCAACGAGGTGACAAGTACCACTACGCGTGGATAAAACACTTTAGCAGGCTGTTGTATGACCAATCGGCACACAGAGAAAAGAGCCACTTCTGCAAACGGTGCCTACACGGCTTCACACGAGCTGATTTATTAGAAACCCACCGGGAGGATTGCCAAGGTGTGGGGCAGATGGCCATACGAGTCGACATGCCTAAGGAAGGTGACAATCTCCTAAAATTCGGCAACCACAAGAACCAAATGTCTGTGCCATATACGCCGACTTTGAAGCCTTGGTCAAACCTGTTGAGGCTGCCGCCGGCGGGGCTGTTGGGGGTATCCCCATAGGTGAGAGCTTCACACAGAAAATACAGGAGCATGAGGCTTGTGGGTTTGGATACATTGTCGTCCGTTGTGATGGGAAAACGAAAGCTCCCGTAGTGTATAGGGGTCCCGACGCGGCTGAAAACTTTCTAAAGTGTTTGCAGGAGGAAGACAAAATTATTAGGAATGCACTGTATACAGTCGCTCCCATGCGTATGACCAAAGCCGACCGGCTAGCTCACGCCTGTAGCACTAATTGTCACGTGTGTGACTCACCACTTAACGGTGATTCGGTGAGAGATCACTGCCACATAACCGGTAAGTATAGAGGCGCTGCTCACAGCGCGTGTAACCTCAAGCTTAGAATCACCCCTAAGACAATAAACATCCCCGTGGTCTTTCACAACTTGAGAGGGTACGACTCTCACTTAATCATGCAGGCCATCGCGAAAATCGACGGCACCCTGACGTGCATCCCCAACAACATGGAGAGATACATCTCCTTCAGCTTAAACGGCCTGAGGTTCATCGACTCGGTTCAGTTCCTCCTGTCGTCACTCGACAGTCTGGTCAAGGCCAACGATACCTTCCCTATCACCGATCGATACACCGACGCCGAGACTAGACCCCTGCTGATGAGGAAGGGTGTGTACCCCTATGAGTACATGGATGGCTGGGCTAAGTTCACCGAGACCAGACAACCCCCCCATCAGAGAATTTTACAGCAATCTGACAGACTTGGCAATATCCCAAGATGATTACTCACACGCTATTAACGTATGGAATAAACTGGGTTGTAAGAATCTGGGTGACTATCACGACCTGTACTTGAGGACAGATGTACTGCTGTTAGCCGATGTGTTTGAGACGTTTAGGCGGACTTGTTTCAAGCAGTATAAACTCGACCCCGCATGGTATTACACCAGCCCAGGTCTGTCGTGGGATGCCTTGCTTAAAAAGACCGAAGTTAAGTTGGAGTTGCTCACAGATTACGACATGCACCTATTCATTGAGAAAGGCTTGCGAGGCAGGATTTCCATGGCAACCAAACGATACGCGAAAGCAAATAATCAATACGTAAAGGGCTACGACCCGAGCAAGCCAACCAATCTTATTCTCTACCTAGACGCCAACAACCTGTACGGCTGGGCCATGAGCCAGTATCTACCCACAGGGGGATTCGAATGGGCATCACATGAGGTCGATGTTATGAGCATCGCACCAGATTCGAACAAAGGTTATATCCTCGAGGTTGACTTAGAATACCCCAAGGCATTACACACATCACACAACAGCTACCCCCTGGCCCCCGAACGTATGAGGGTTAACCCAGACTGGATGTCTGAGTACCAACATAACTTGTTAGGTGGGCGGGTGGCAGACGTTGAAAAACTCGTGCCCAACTTAATGAATAAAACCAAGTACATCGTTCACTATCGCAACCTACAGCTGTACCTGTGGAGCCACACATCAGAATGAACACAGACCTCCGAAAGCTTGCCACCAGTGACTTTGAGAAAAATCTCTACAAGCTCATGAACAACTCGGTGTTTGGTAAGACTATGGAGAACCTGAGGAAACGCGTGACCGTGAAGCTGGTTCGGTCGAATGAGGAAGACAAGCTCAGGAGACTGATAGCCAGTCCCGCATTCAACCGTAGCAAGATATTCACCGATGACCTAGTTGCCCTACACATGAAGAAAAGCCATATAAAATTCAACCGGCCTGTTTACGTGGGGATGAGCATCCTCGATTTATCCAAACACCTGATGTACGACTTTTACTACAACGAGCTGAAGAAACAGTACGACGACAGGTGTGAAGTGCTGTACACTGACACGGATTCCCTGCTGATGGAGATTAGAACCGAGGACGTGTACGAGGACATGAAGAAATGCCTCGATTTATACGACACCAGTGACTACCCCAAGGACCATGCCATACGCAGCACGGTAAATAAAAAGGTCCTAGGTAAGATGAAGGACGAGTGTGCTGGCACGCCCATAGCCAAGTACATAGGTTTGAGGCCAAGACTTCCCTGTCGCCGATGGATACTAAACGTTGGATAGCTGTTGATGGCATCAACACGTACGCGTACGGGCATGAGAAAATTGAACCAAGAACATAGGTGTATGTATAAACAGGATACCCTGTCTAGGTGACATGTCACTGAACCAGAGAAAGTTTGAGGCTATTTACTACAGCCCGCGTGGGTACTGGAAAGGAGCTAGCGCTGTAGATAAGCTGGCTAAAATGGCGCGAGTACCCCCGGAGGAGGTCAAAGCGTGGCTTGAAAAACAAGCCCTTTGGCAGATCTATTTACCGCCACCACGCTACGTGCTTAGAAGGAAGTTTGGTATTAACATACCCAATAGCGTTCACCAGGCTGACCTCTTATTCCTACCCCACGACAAGAGGTACAAGTATGTCTTAACCGTAGTGGACGTAGCCAGTCGCTACAAGGAAGCCGAACCCTTGACCGCGAAAGATTCGGCCCAGGTAGCCAGAGGATTCGAATGCATATACAAACGCAGTCCGCTGATGTGGCCAACAGAGCTGCAAGTTGACCCCGGGCGGGAGTTCATGGGTGTCGTGTCACACCTGTTAGACAAACACGATACAAAGGTCAGGCGTGGCACGGCAGGAGCCCATCGCAGCCAAGCCATAGTTGAGAGATTCAATAGAACTTTGGCTGAGCGCTTATTCAGACATCAGTATGCGAGGGAGATGGCCAACCCGGGGAAGCGATCGACTGAATGGGTCGCGAGGTTACCTAAGGTGGTGTCGGCAATCAACCATGAAGCCACCGGCAAAAAACCGGCAGACGCTATCAAACTAAAATCAATAGTGGCAGAGTCGGCTGCTCCATTGCGTGGGAAAGAGAAACAGATACCAGATAGGGCCCTAGTGAGGTATCTATACCAGCCGGGGGAACACGAGGGTGATAGCCGTAAGCGAGCCACTGACCCAATATGGTCAGTCAAAACTTACAGCGGCATAGCGGCACGTAGAGCGATGATGCAATCTCAGGATAGATGATGCAATCCCAGGATAGACCCGTTAAACCGACATACTTCAGCCTTGTCCCTGGTAGCTCAGTCGGTTGAGTGGTGCGGCTGTGAGGTATACATGTGGGGTTCGTATCCCGCTGGCGTCTCAAACTTTTTTATAGTAGGGGTAATTGGGCGAGATCTAAGGGCCTGACAAAAGCCTTATTTGGGAAATAAGGCTTTGCAGAGGCTTTTGTTGGACTTGGTCCAGTATCCCCATTCCCCCTACTACTTTTTTTGAATAAGGATGGCTTGAAACATAGTGATGAAGTCCAATATTTGTACAACCCCTCTACCATTTATAAACATCCCCCCAAAATGTTCATGATCTCTATCATTTTTCGTTCAATAAATGATTATCTTCCTGTGTGCAGGACATATGCAAGTTGCTGGTGCACATGAAGCACCCTGAAGTCTACCAGAAGCTGGGGGTAACCCCACCCCGAGGATTCCTCTTGCATGGGCCCCCAGGATGTGGCAAAACACTCCTAGCTCATGCCATTGCTGGGGTAGGTTCATGTAGAAGTAGACAGTGTTGATTATTTTTATGACTATTAGCAGCAGATTTATTGCTTTTACCAACTAACTATATTTCAAATAATTTGAAGCTGGGCTACCAAGTCTTGAGACATGTATTTTGTTGGTAGAATAAAGCCCAGATGTGGATATCTTTCTAATAGTATGTAAAACATCATTATGTTAACATCTAATGATCATAATTTATTTTGACAGGATGGATAGGTGTTAATTAGTACATACAGATATAGCACATGTATCTGTGTGTCATGACATCCTTACAGATATAGCACATGTGTCTTTGTGTCATGACATCCTTACAGATATAGTACATGTGTCTGTGTGTCATGACATCCTTACAGATATAGCACATGTGTCTGTGTGTCATGACATCCTTACAGATATAGCACATGTGTCTTTGTGTCATGGCATCCTTACAGATATAGCACATGTGCCTGTGTGTCATGGCATCCTTACAGTTATAGCACATGTGTCTTTGTGTCATGGCATCCTTACAGATATAGCACATGTGTCTGTGTGTCATGACATCCTTACAGATATAGTACATGTGTCTTTGTGTCATGACATCCTTACAGATGTAGTACATGTTTGTATGTCATGGCATCCTTACAGATATAGTACGTGTCTGTGTGTCATGGAATCCGTTACAGATATAGTACATGTGTCTGTGTGTCATGGAATCCTTACAGATATAGTACATGTATCTGTGTGTCATGGAATCCTTACAGATATAGTACATGTGTCTATGTGTCATGACTTCCTTACAGATGTAGTACATGTTTCTGTCTGTATGTCATGGCATCCTTACAGATATAGTACATGTGTCTGTATGTCATGGCATCCTTACAGATATAGTACATGTGTATGTGTGTCATGACATCCTTGCAGATATAGTACATGTGACTGTGTGTCTTGACATCCTTACAGATATAGTACATGTGTCATGGAATCCTTTCAGATATAGTACATGTGACTGTGTGTCTTGACATCCTTACAGATATAGTACATGTGTCTATGTGTCATGACATCCTTACAGATATAGTACATGTGTCTGTGTGTCATGACATCCTTACAGATATAGTACATGTGTCATGTGATGACATCCTTACAGATATAGTACATGTGTCTGTGTGTCATGACATCCTTACATATATAGTACATGTGTCTATGTGTCATGGCATCCTTACAGATATAGCACATGTGTCTGTGTGTCATGACATCCTTACAGATATAGTACATGTGTCTGTGTGTCATGACATCCTTACAGATATAGTACATGTGTCTGTGTGTCATGACATCCTTACAGATATAGCACATGTGTCTATGTGTCATGGCATCCTTACAGATATAGCACATGACTGTGTCTGTGACAAATAATCCTTTCCATAAAGACATTGATAGAAATGTAACATTTACAACTATATGTAGTGGCCGGTAAGTATTTGAAACAGCACAGTATTTGATGACACACAATGAACCTAATTTACCACAGCAAGCATGAGTAGTAACCCCAATGGATTGAGAGTGTCCTTAGATATATAATACTCTACCAGGGGTAATATATTTTCTGCCTCTGTTCAGGAGCTTGAGATGCCCTTCATCAAGATTGCCGCAACAGAGATTGTGTCAGGGGTATCAGGAGAGTCGGAAGAGCAGATCCGGGACTTGTTTGAAAAAGCTGTTGTAAGTACAGATCCAGTAGATGATGTTGATTATGATCCCCCTGGCATATAATGCAGGGGGATATAATCAACACCTCATCCATCCAACCATCTGCCCGTCCTGTCTGTCGGGATATAGTCAATGCCTCGTCCATCCAACCGTCCATCCGTCCGTAATGATTTCATTTCTGGAGCCTTTTGCTATTGACATATTTTGGGCATTTTTATTTTTCTCTATTTCCTTGGAAACAATTTTGATTTGGTTTCAAAAGGAGGGTGTGGATTTTGTTTCCGGAGCACAACTTGAAAATTATGAAAGATTTCTCATCCAAACCTGGTACATGTATTAAACAAGGGCTGAAGTGATGCCTTTTGTGATTTAGGATTTTATGAAAAATTGATTTTTCCCTGTTTCGATGGACACTCGTCAGACTTAGCTGAAATGGAGGTGGCTGTTGTTTCGGAGCACAGCTCGAAAACTGTTCAGTATCTTTCAACAAGACATGGCAGATATATAAAACAGGTTCCAAAGTGGTGCCTTTTGTTTTTTGCAGATTTTTGGCATTTTTATTTTTCTGGATTTCTGTGGAAACAATTTGGACTTAGACTCAAAAAGGGGGGTTGGATTTCATTTCTTGAGTACTGCTAAACAAAACATGAAACATTTTTCAACCAAACCGGGTACGTGTATTATTTAAGTACTGAAGTGGTGCCTTTTGTTATTTAGGAATTTTAAGAAAATTAATTTGTTTCCTATTTCCATGACAACAAGTTTGACTTTGACTCTGTTCATCGTTGTGTGTTTGTCTGGACCATATCTCTAAAATTAATTGGTATTCTTTCATGAAACTGTGTGCACACATAGACCAGGTTGTCAACTGCTGCCTTTTGCTATTAGGGATTTTCAAAATTTGCATTTTTTTCCATTGACTTTGAAATTGGTGTGTACCTGACATAGAAGTACAAATTTACGAATCCCAATTCCATGTTATTGTTTTGATAGCTTAATAACTACTCTTGTAGACAGACGGACAGATCAGACAGAAACTCTCTCATCAAGTTGGACTTTAAATCCAGCCCAAAATCAATGATTTGTTGTTATCTCACTCCTGTCTGAAATCTGTGGTTTGCTGTGATTGTGTTCCAGGGCTGTGCCCCCTGTGTCGTATTCATAGATGAAATTGATGCCATCACACCAAAGAGAGAGACAGCATCGAAGGACATGGAAAGGAGGATTGTAGCTCAGTTGTTGGCGTGTATGGATGGTGGGTAGATTATTGGTCAAACCGCGCCTATGACTCAAAACCAAAAGTGCCCACTGATTACCGTATCTTTTGGACCAGTAGATGAACCAATGACAATGTCATGTACCAGGTACTCTTGTCATTCCAGATCTGTAAACAATGTCTGACATTTCTCATTTATCTTTATAATGATGGCCCTTCATACTTCTTCATTCTTCTTAACACATTGCAGTTATTTCATGCAGAGGGATAGATTTGTTTAGAACAGTTAATACTTAATGTGGCACAGTTTTTGTAAGTGTGGAACTAAAAAGAATAGGTGTTCCTGGCCTTGAGTTGGGAATTTGTCTGCATATGATTATTAAAATATTATGGAAGGAAACAATTTCTGTTACTGCAATTACTGGTTTAACTGTCATTTCATTTCCTCTCAGATCTGAACACAAAGACTGTCCCTGTGTTAGTAATAGGAGCAACTAATAGACCTGACTCTCTTGACCCTGCACTCAGACGAGCTGGCAGGTTTGATAGAGAGATCTGTCTCGGGATCCCTGATGAAAATGCAAGAATGAGGTAATATATTCTCTAATGGCATGTATGTATTAAGCTGCAAATTTGAAACTGGAAAAAGTACTGCATGTATTTGGCCGGGATTGAAGGCTCATTGCTTCAAGCTTCATTGCTCATAGTATCAATCACTGGATTGCCTTGTCTCAAATATTTACACTCTGGTGTCATATAGCTGGAATATTTCTTGGTGTGGCCTTAAATGACAAATCAGAAACAAACTTACGTGATAAGCTCTGTTTACAATGTGTTTATAGAGAGCCATATTTTAGGATCCTGCAGGTGCTGTGTCGAGGTCTACGTCTGACCGAAGACTTCAACTTCCAGCATCTAGCTCACCACACCCCAGGTTTTGTTGGAGCAGACCTGATGGCCTTGGCCAGGGAGGCGGCCATGATTGCTGTCAACAAGTAGGTGTGGGATACTCTGTAGTAGGGGTTAATATTCTACACAACATTTGATGGTGCCCAGATGTTATCATGAATTGGATTACAGTTATATTTTAGTCATAATGCATGTTAAGTTTGTTTCATAATATACTTGAGTGGGCATTATTATGCATTGTTGTTTCCCAGCTTTCTTGGGAGTGGGAATTGAGAATAATTTTTCAGACTCAACATTTTGATTTTGTTGTTTTGTGAGAGAAATCAAGCTTGTATGCAACAAAGATTAATTCTGTTTAAACTATGCACATGTAAACCCAGTTGCAGCATTAGAAACTAATTTTATCCCTTATATAGCATGTTGACCAATGCAGGAAAGTCATGGCAAGATTATGCATAAAGACAGAGTTTTGACACCAGTGGGGTGTTTCAGGGTGTTTCAGGAACTGCAGAAGGAGAAAGAGATGTCCCTTTCAACGCCCAGCCAACCAGGCACCAACAGTGTAGAAGAAGACTGCCCTGACAGCAGGAAACACATGTCTCCAGAACTTGCATCAGGTGAGCATGTTGTCCTCACTTTGACTTTTCATTTCCATGACTTGCTTTTAAGTTTCATGTTTTAAACTACCGGATTGGCCTAGGTGACTGCCAAAAAGCTGTAGTAAGAAGATTGTGAAAGAAATAGGTAGTTAAGAATGTTTCTTTAAGAGACAATAAAAAATTTATTTCATTTCTTATAACTGTATGCTGTTGCTAAAATTATGCTTGGCTTTTGTGTATGTTTGTATCAGGGGAAATAATATCTTTTATCTGCTGTAGATACTGAATTAGCATTTTTGATGTGGTTGTTATCTTATTAGAACTTATTAGAAATGAGCCACAATATTACGTCCATTGTCCATATTTTTTAGTAAGTTTAGAAATTAATCTTACTTTGAAACGATCGCTTTTGAAAACTGACTCTCTAACAGTAACCAATCTTAGCGAACTAGTAGAACCGAACACGCCCTATCGTCACGTGACATTGATGTGACTGAAAAAAGTCATCTGCTCGCTTCCGTCTGCTATTTTCGTCGACATTTGAAAATCTCAAGACTTGCCTTCGGCCGTTAAAACTATTATTGTAGAACGATATCAGGATGGCCAAAATTGTTCAGCTATTGCAAGACATTTCGGCTTTCCCAGAAGTACTGTTTATTCTTGTGTAAACCGTTTTCAACGAAGAGGCTCGATTGAGAATCGCCATCGAATAGGTCGTGCTGCCAAGGTGTCACGGAGAGGTAGGAGACAGTTGTTTCGGATCGTGAAAGACAATCGCATCGCAGCACCTTTACATGAAATTACCAACATTTTTAATAGGGGTAGAAATTCCCCTGTCTCACGGAGGACAATTAGACGGGTTTTGCATGAGAATAAATTTCACAGGCGTATCGTTAGAAAGAAAATAAGAATTCGAGAACAACAACATCAAAACGTCTACGCATGGGCAAGAGGGCAAAGGTACAAAACTGTGGATAATTACTGGAATAGAGTAATATTCAGTGATGAATGCAAGGTTTTTCTTGGAGAAAATAATCGTGTCTATATTTGGAGACAGCCCGGCGAAGAGTACCTACCTGAATGCCTGTGTCCAGGTCGGCAGCCTCGAGTGGGTTTGATGATATGGGCTTGCATTACTTTGCATGGTGTCGGAACTTTGACTGTTGTTAACGGCAATATAAATGCCCAGAAATATATGGCATAATTTATTCTCACCTCTGGCCTGTTGTAGCACGTCATTTTCCTGGAAATAATTATATCTTCCAAGACGACAATGCCCCTGTGCATCGGGCCTGAATTGTACAGGACTATAGACAAAACAATGGCATAAATGGCATGGTATGGCCTGCACAATCACCGGATGCAAATATAATTGAAAATTGTTGGTTGATGTTGAAAAACAAGTTGGCCGCACACCGACAACATATTCAGTCGGCAGCTGATCTCGAGAGAGAGAAATCAGGGATATCTGGCAAAACACGCCGGTTAACTACATACAGAACTTGTACAGATCAATTCCAGGGAGAATAGTGAAAATTCTGAGGAACAAGGGTCATATGACCAAGTATTGAGGTAAGTCACCCTGTATTTCATGCTCTATCACCATTTGAATAAACCGCGCTGACAGGAGGCGTCACACTCGGCCGCCATCAATGTACGTAATATTGTGGCCACCTGCTGTATCTTGTATGATGGATTTGTTATTCTCGGCTGCTGCCATATAGCTGAAATATTGCTGAGGGTGACGTTAAACAACAAACAATCAAATCATATATTGGTATCTTTCAGTTTGTTTAATGTATTTTAGTGTTGTCATGGTTAAGGGATCAGCCACCATTGTCAGAACAGCAATTACAGGATCTTTTCATTAAGATGGAGGACTTTGAGGTAAGTGCAGTCTGCAGTATAGTCACATGAAGATATGTAACCACTGACCAATTATCACCTGCACATGGCTGATAACAGCGGTGTAGTTAACCATGTGCATGGTGTATCTTGAGGGGTAGTATAAAGGTTAAAGTGTCTGCTCCTCTGAAGATCCAGATTCGATTCCCCACATGCGTACAATGTGTGAAGACCTGCTGGAATATTGTTAACAGCTGCATAAAACCAAATTCACTCACCCACCTCTTAGCGACTGGTCATATATTATAGAGGGTGTTTGCTCAGGAGATGTTTTGCTGACGTGTCCTCCATTTTAAGTAGCTTTATTTCATGACCCATCAATTTTTTATGACCTGACCATGGTAGCCACCACCCCAACCATTTATCTTCCTGGCCCAACCACCCCTATACTAAATGAACAGTCCTCCACTACAGTTAGAATACTACTGCAGCACTGTGTCTTCAAGACAAAAGGGTATCTGTGATGCAACATAACATTCGATTCTACTTGTATTGAACATAGTGTTCAACATATTTATTGTGCGTCATCAAGTTTGACTAGTAATGTTTTATCAAACAGGATCTCCTGGAAAGAACGCGCTTGAAATAATGTTTATATTTTATGCTATGTCATCGTAAGGCAAAGTCATCGTGAAATATTGTTCCGAGCAGTATTTAACACTTTTACTCAGGATTGTTCACTGGATTATTATCTTCTTTCCATGCTGAATTAACGTTTATGGCAATTCAACTTGTATCTCTTTCATTCACCAGGAGGCTCTAAAGCATGTGCAGCCATCAGCCAAGCGTGAAGGCTTCGCCACAATTCCCGATGTGACATGGTCTGACATCGGGGCTCTCCACTCAGTGAGGGAAGAACTGCAACTTGCCATTCTGGTATGAGTATTTCTGTAATTGTTATTGTACAGATTTGATTTGCAATGAAGATGTAGTAATTTAAACAGATTGTATTAAGGAACATAATGGCTTGCAGACTTGTCTCTTTGCTGTATATAAACATAAGGGTTTGTGAGTGAATTGAGTGAATGCCACAGTCAGCAATGACACAACTTAGTTACAGTGACCTGGAAAAGTCTTGGCAAGCAGCCAGTGACTGAAAATGTGTCCATCTTATGGCACGATAACACAAAACATATATCTCACATATATTTTACCCTTTATCTCAAGGCACCAGTGCGACACCAAACAGAGTTCCAGTCACTAGGGTTGACCAACCCTCCAGGGATACTGTTGTCAGGACCCCCAGGGTGTGGCAAGACCCTCCTGGCCAAGGTAAGCAAGCAGTTAGCTGGTGAGTGGGTTTGATCAATATTGATTATGTCACATGGCTGACATTTGATTAAGGGAATCATAGCATGAACAATGATCCACATCCTTGTGGTACCACGTAGGGTATGATAAACAGCAAATATGTAGGTACTGACTTCTGTGGGATACATTTCAGTGACCAGAATAATGTTTTTCTGGTGGAAACAACCTCAAGTATGGAATACTGGAACTGGTATTGTGTGATGTTGAGTCTGTGTATTGTTAGCAGTAGTAACCACCATTACAGAACTGAAATACATTTCGCAGGGAACGGACAGATAACATTTGGTAACAAAATGTTAAAACAGCTATGCTGTATTCAGTCCACATCACATTTGAGAGTAACTAATATTCATAATCATGATATATTTTTTCTAGGCAATTGCGAATGAATCTGGAATCAACTTTATATCAGTCAAAGGACCAGAGTTGCTTAACATGGTGAGCTATACAAAAGGTTATCATGAAAAATACTTTCTCAAGAATATATTCCATATCTTGTCAAGTTAAAGCTGATATGACATAAAATATTTACTCACGCTGTAGGCATACCAACGAAGTAGTATTCTATCATGTCTCACTGTTTGTATTCTTGAATCTGTATCTTAGGTAAAATTAGTAGAGGCATTCTTAATGAGGTTTGTTTTACAGTCTAGGTATATTTAGTTCGGAAAGATTAAACTGGGGAAAAAAACCCAGATCTCTGGAGTGATGAAATGATCAAACTAATTATTTCAGTATGTTGGTGAGAGTGAGAGAGCTGTGAGGCAGGTCTTCCAAAGGGCACGCAACTCCTCCCCATGTGTCATCTTCTTCGACGAGCTTGATGCTCTTTGTCCCAAGCGATCAGGCTCAGGAGAGGTACTGTCAACAGGAGGAAAGGCCAACATGATATTTGTTTATCTTGGTTTGTTATTCCATGTAAAATATCATTGGCCTTAGAATGTAGTAAGAGATTACTTTGCAAGGTGAATTGTACCTAGATTTAACTTTTCTTTTTTAATTTCTTCTTTTCTTTTTTTTTTACCTTCTAGAAGATATTTTTGTGTTGATTTATTCTCTGTTCCTTACCAATCATTAAGAATGTTATGCATATTATTAGTATGAGTCATTCACATTTGATAATCTTATGTCTTAGTACACTCCTTGAAACAGTTTGTGTGTGTGTGTGTGTGTGTGTGTGAGAGAGAGAGAGAGAGAGAGTGTGTGTGTGCATGCATGCATGCACACATGCACATGCATGTCTTTTGTGTGTAAGGTGGGTGCACGCATGCATGTGCTCGCAGCTTCCCATTGCCATGGTTTCAGTGGTACACTGTATCCTATTTGTCCTCAGGGAGGTTCAAGTGTGCGGGTTGTCAATCAAATGTTGACGGAGATGGATGGGCTGGAATCTCGTAAGCAAGTCTTCATCATGGCTGCCACAAACAGACCAGGTAACCTTTCACTCCTGATCAGAATGTGGCTATAAGGAGGATTTTGACCATACAGCATGTCATGGTAGATTATGTATCACATTGCAAGATCTCATTACAATAAAATATTCGACCTTCAAAGGGAAGTAAAAGAGTACTTAAAATTACGGCAATTATTTTTTGTACTCTTGTAAATAGTTTAGTAGTACTGGATCTCATGGAACCAGATAACATTACTGACAGTTTGGCATCATGTACCTTGATGCATGAACACTGAAGTGAATTGTGACATTCAACAACACTATCAATGCAAGTTAGTTAGTATATCAGTTCTACAACACAGAAACAGCAGATATTTTGCAAGATTATGTTCACTTCTTTGATTGGCATTCTAGAAGTTGGGTAGATACAACTTCTTTATTCTGTATAGGCGACGTTTCAACATATGTATCACTTGCTTGACAATGACATTAGAATCTATGTCGAAACGTCGCCTATACAGAATAAAGAATAAAAATAGTCCTCATCCTTCAAGATTATGTTCAGCACGTCTCAGTGATGATGAAAAGTTTTCTGTATGACTGTTGTAATTTCTAAAAATTTTTAATTTGAAATGGCTATCTATGCTGTTTGTAAACACAGCAAGCTTATTTTTCAGGTGTGTTCCTTGTGCATTACTAGTATGATCTTTTCAGACATAATCGATCCTGCCATCCTGCGCCCTGGTAGACTGGATAAGTTGTTGTATGTGGGGCTGCCATCGCAGGAAGACAGGCTGGATATCCTCAATACCATCACCAAGGTAGCTTTATGTCAGAATTGTGGAATATCTTTGATACTACAGCATAATAAAACTTTGGTTATTTATGTTTTAATAAAGGAAAGTTCGACATTCAGACAAAGTGTTAATTCCTGAATATAGTTGGGGAGTTAAAAGGTCTGCCTGTTTTCCTTTTCACATTAAAGGTCACATGCAACGTAAAACACAACTTTGCAGATTCTGATACCTTTCGGTATGGACTTACCGAAACAAATCATCAAAAATGCAGATTCAACTTATAAAGTTGAAATATAACGCAATGAAAAAAAACGAGCGAAATCGGAGTTCAAATGATTCACTAATTTTCCCCAAGCGCTTGGGGCAAAAGTGGTTTCAACAGCTGAGCTGCGCTGGGCTGTGCTGTGCTGTGCTGGCTGCGCTCATAGCACATGCGCAGTGAAATAGGTTCGCGCAGCTTGGAAGCGGGTTGTCCGGTGAATACTCCGTGAAGGCTTTGGTGTGAGCTATATTTTTAATGTTTTGTTGATATTTCACAGGCGCAAGCTTTTTATATGTTATGACAGTAGATTACCGATTTAACTGTTTATGTAATTTCATTTGTCTATTTCACCACACATTTTTCTTACCGAGTCACTTTCTCAGTTCGATACTTAACATCGATGTCATTATTTAGCGTTGACAGAATTTCTAACTGATGTAGATATGTAGTTGTCACAGACAAAACTCAATGTCTGTTTTATTGACACCTATGTGTCTGCCCGCCTGTCTGCTAATGACAATATTCAATACACAACTGACCGCCTCCGTGGTGTAGTGGTTAGAGCGTCTGCCCGGAGAGCGGAAGGTCGCGGGTTTGATCCCCGACCGCGTCATACCAAAAGACGTTAAAATATGGTACTTGTTGGTCCCTGCCTGGCGCTTGGCATTAATGGGTACAACAAGCACTGGTCGGCTCGGAGTCAGTATAATTTGTCTGAGTGGGGTATTCATGCTTCACTGCGGCATGGTATCTCAGTGGGCTGGCACTATAAAACCAGCTTAAGTCTGGGCTAGTACAAGCAGCCACACATACACATACACACGCATGCACGTCGTCATATGAGCGAAATATTCTCAAGCACGACGTTAAACCCAATTTCACCTCACCAATACACAACTTCGATTACTGAGCACATGCAATTTGAACTTAACACCTATCAGGCTATACACCATAGACAAAACGCATTGATTTATGGCCCGAGTTCGATCTCTGTCACATTATGTTATTACACAGACAGGCAGGTGTGATACTTGTACACATGACATGTTATGATGTCTGTTGATTGCAAAATGTTATACACCAAAAATGAGCATGTATTTACAAAACCCAACATCTCTATATATACACACACTATGGGCCGTGAGGGCATCTGCAAATGAACCAGCCGTTAAACTTGAGTGCACACCCACCCGCTCTGACTGGGTTCGTTATCCCGGCTGCTTTGGTTCTAGGGAAGTAAACCCAAGTACAAAATATTGCACTTTTGATTTGCGATTATACACTTATCATTTTGTTTATATGTTTTATGTATATGTATATTATATTATATGTCATGAATATGTCATGAATAAGTGATAATTGTGTTTTAATTATGTTTGAATTTTGGGTTGCATGCGACCTTTAACAAATTTTCATGGGATTGAAAGCACAAATTTGTACAAATTTACCCAGAATATCTAAAGAACATCTCTATTCTTTTTCATAGAGATCGTCCTTGGGGTACATATGTGCATTTTCTGTGGCTGAAAATGTCATGTGACAGCTGTATCAATGTTTTAATAAAAATATTGTACAATAAATAAAAATATTTTTTATCTATTATACGGCCCCAACCACGTGGAGTTACCTCCCTGCTATGCATGCGCAGCCAACCAGGTAAGCGCCTAGGCCCGTATCATCATTCCTTCTGCTGTCACTCAAGCATTCACACATATTTCCAACCTGAGTTACTACCTGATTTACTTCTTGTAGAAGAATATCTGAGACTTCAACAACTGTATGTGTGGTCTTTATTCATTTTGAGAAACGTTTTATGGACTTTGCAGTCTGTTATTTCTCATTTATGTGACTTTGTATTAAACATTTACGCTAGCTTTCCCGTGGTTTACGCACATGTTGCTATTCCATGGCGGGAAGTTTTAGCGTGCCATGTGGTTGAAATATTGCGTTATTCACCAAGTATTTCATGTCGCGTTGTCGCATTCACGTAATTTTCAATGTTTTGTACGTGTATATTATGCTGTTGTGTACGCCGTTAGCTACATGCTTGCGTGTTTGCTTTCAGGCCTTAACGGGATGTGCTGCCTGCGGACAAAATATTTGCCGTTCTGATAAGCATGACAAATGCTTATGCTGCCTGGAGAAGGCAGGGCATAACCCTGACATCTGAGTTGTGCATGGGCTTCTCCCCCCAAGGCCCAGAAGAGACGGGTGGCTGATTTCCTTTTTTATAAAGAATTACGTGAGGCGGGAGGGGACCTGACCCAGGAGGTTCCCCCGTCCAAGGCCATAAAGGCTAAGCAAACCAAAACTAAGTCTTCACATAGGTCACACTCTCCGTCTCCGTCCAGTGGTTTTGATATGTCACTTATCACTCAATTGTTTCAGCAGCATATGGACCCCGTGAAGTCCCTCGTTCACGAGTCGGTTGGAGGTCTCCGGCAGGAGTTCCTCGCCCACTCTGTTCGGGGGGCCGAGAGAGTCCAGGGGTGAGATCGCTGAACTCGGCTCGATCCCTTGGCCTGGAGGCGTCTGTCGATCCTTTGCCTTTGGCTTCGGGTCCGGATGCCTCGGCTGCCCCGGAGGGGGAGGGTTCGCTCCCAGTCCCTCTCTCGGTGTTGGCGCAGGTCCGTTGAGGATTCTTGGGGTTCCGGTCCCTGCGCCGCCCCGCCCCATGAGATCGAAGGAGCTGGTTCTGTCCGGCCTTCCTCCCATGTCTTGGGACCGGGGTCGAGTGTTGTGTCGGTGGCCGGAGCTGAGAATTCCTTCGGCTCTTCCCTTCCCGCGGCGTCTGTGGCTCGGCCTCCCACCGGGTCAGGGTTTGGCTCCTCTTCACGTAGAGATCCGAATTCTGACTCGGGCTCAGGTGCCGAGTCTATGGAGGTTGGGGAGGTCGAGGAGTCGGAGGGTACTTTCTGTTTTTCGGCGGCTCTCTGGGAGGTGAGGCAACGTATTGCTGAGTATATTCCCCAAGCCGCGGTGCCGACATGTCGCTCGGACTCGACTGAGTTCCGCCTCCCGGGTGAGGCGTTTGCCCCTAGGCAACCCTCTCAGACACAGCTCCGTATCTTGCCTTCCCTGGTGCAGGACATGATTGATTGACGTGATCCCTCGGGGGAGGCTCGGCTTCCTCAGGTGCAGCCCCGGCTGCTAAGCAAGGGCGGTTAGTTCCACCGTTTGCCCTAGCGGGCTCCCCCCTCGGCAGGCATACCAGACTTATGAGGAAGTCTACCGGAATGCCATGCAGCAGGTGCGTGTAGTGGTCCACGAGACGTACCTTTCCTTGATCGGCTCTGGAGGCGGAAGGGAGCACTGGGGGCGTTTCCCCGAATGGGGATGCGCAAGCTGTGGCTGTCTATCAAATTTGCGAAGTTTAGTTTGATACAGAGATCATGAACTTTCAAAAAATGGTATTGAAATGTTTTAGTGCTGTCAAAAACCTAGGTGAAAGATTGTTTGCTTGATGTTGATATTAGTTATCAGAAAATCACATGGCTTGTGGGAGTCCCAGTGGACATAAATAGCAAGTCAGTGTGGTGAGCGAAAACATATGATGTCATTCCAAAGTATCATGGCTGAACTCAGAACTTCAGAAGCGATCAAAATGGACTTTCGCTTCATAGACTTCCATATCAAACATTTGAATAAAATAACATGAAGATGTAGGTACCACATGATAACTGTTCTGATATTCATTTGTTTTCTGAGCATGTGTCTTTTCTGAGATAACGCAAGGATAACGTTTGGATGTCATATACCAGTCCTCAATATTTACTCAACTTTGTGTCCCAAAAGATTAAAGTTTCTTGTGTCTGTTGTATGTGCAAGTTTCACCTGTATTACGGAATTAAAACTATGCCTATATTCTAGAATGGAACCAAGCCACAACTGGCTCCAGATGTCAGTCTTGCCACAGTATCCATTGATCCGAGATCTGAAGGATTCACGTAAGTCAGTCCACTTCCCTCCAACCACAATATTACATATAATACATGTTTGGAATTCTGGCATACAGAGTAGGTGCCTTTTATTAGACTGATGTGGGTCCAGACTTAATGATAGCCTATTGTGATATGTCTGAAACATTGCTGGCTCTGGCCGAACGCACCAAGCTATGTCATTTTTTGTATTGAAATAACTGACCCAGTTTGTTATCAACTATCATTAAAGTAAGACTGATTTTTCTCTGATTGCATTTTTACGGTTCTGCCAAAATGCCCCCAAACTTGATAAGCTGAGTTGTTTTTCTGCATGATCCAGACAAGTGATATATTATGTACTCAAAACTTGAAATGTAGATGCCATAAGCGCTCTTCATAGCTATAGCTTTACTGACGCTGCAAACAATGTGTGACATCATTCCCATGTTATCAACATAAAATGTCACAAAAAAGTTTCATTAATTATTGTTTACTTTTCCTCTGTGCCATAACTGAAGCAATATTCAAAGGTTTTGGCAAGTTGGCAGACCCAACAATTTTTATTCAAGACAAGTACTAGTGCCTGCAATTTCAAATTTGATGAATCTCAATTTAGCAGTCAGTGTCGACTGATATTGTATAGAGATGATGGTACGTTTTGCTTGGTATTGACCTGAGTTCCTGGTCCCACTTCCTATAACTTGCCTACTTCCACAGTGGAGCTGATCTGGCTGCACTGGTGAGGGAAGCATCAGTGACAGCACTGAAGGACATCATCAAACTGCCTGTCTCCGACCGCCCTGCAACAGTCAGTGTCACAGCACAACACTTCGAGTCTGCCTTCAACAATGTCAGGTCATCAGTCTCCAAAAAGGTATTTCCTTACATTTGGGTAATTTGTCTGGATACATTTCACTTTGCTGCTGCAGCATCTGAGAACTGCTAAATTATAAAGTCTGTTGCCTAGTTTTATGTGAGAAGTATAAAAGGGGTGGTTTTTGCTTTACATTTAACAAAGAAGATGGTGTGAAGAGTGAGCCTAAGAAGTAGCAGAGATAAATTCACTGATAGTCAGAAAATGTGACAGATTCAAAATCACAGCCAAGAAACATACGATGTGGGTAAGGTTTGTGATCAGTTGTGTTGCTGCTGTGATATCACTTGAACTGCTTCTCACTATTGGTCCTAATTAGTTTCCATTCTTTAGGATGTTCATACCTCATATGAATTGAGTCAATGTCAATTTTGATTTTAAAATCATTATTGAGATGATTTGATATTTTGATGGCTGGGATAAGTACATGAAGATTAACACTGGAAATTTTCTTTGCAGGATCAAGAAAAGTACTTAAGAATGAAGGATTCTTTAAGATCTTGACAATTGTGTAATCTGTACATTCTCTGTGTAAATTAAAGCCATGTTATATTCAGCAGTAATGGTTATTTCTGTTTTGGAGGAGTGAGTGAGTTTAGCTTTACGTCGCACTCAGCAATATTCCAGCTATATGGCAGTGGTCTGTAAATAATCAAGTCTGGACCAGACAATCCAGTGATCAACATCATGAGCATCAATATACACAACTGGAATATGATGACATGTGTCAACCAAGTCAGCGAGTCTGATCACCCGATTCCATTAGTCGCCTCTTACGACAAGCATGGGTTACTGAATTCTAACCCGGATCTTCTTGGGTTGTTTTGGAGGAGCTTCAGTTGCAGAGTAAATGAAAATTTTCATGACATTGAAAGAAAACTGTATGTATTCAAACAAATGTATGATGGCATTTTTCTTCTAGATTTGTGGAATATTTGTGGTCAGACTTTCCACAAAATCTCTGTAATGAGTGGATGAAACATTTGTGTCATTAATCTATTATGTTTATCAAAAGGGAATTTTCCATATTTCAGTATGTTAGGATGTCATATTCTGAATCTGGTTACATAAGTCCCCAGCAGTGGGGTGACCTGATTACATTACCACTGACTGTGTGTCCTGGTTGATTGCTGCTAGAGGTTTCACTCAAGGTCCTGTGTCTTCTGATTCTACCTGGATTGTGTGCATCATTGCTCATGTTTTCAGTCATTGTTTTGCTTGGTTGTGTCAGTTGCGCGTGTCACAATGATTATGTGTCCTTGTACCTAAATGGTGTTGGTTGTTGCTGTGGCTGAGTCAATGTTTTACCAGGTTCTGACCTCATTCATTCACACAATTGAAACAAATAACATGGGACCAAGATAGAGCTATGACATTGTCATACATTTTCACTGTTATGTTAATTGCAACTTAAATAATAAGATATGAGGACAATACTTTATTCCAGACCAGAGTATACAAATAACAGCAAAATGAATTAAATAACTTTGTAAAATAGTGTTAAGAGAACTTAACATTTTTTAAGCAGAATAAGTTTCTACAAAACAGGAACTTCTGGAAACAAACCAGTCCTTTCATAATTTTTTTTACAAACTACATGAACATGAGCCATTTCATTCAACCCAATTAGTAACAAGAAGACAAAGTCATCAATATCAGCAAAATACTCTTTATGAATATGTCTACTAGTTATGATTATGTCAAATGTTTTGGAGTGTACACAGCAAAGTGGAAGGAGAGTATTGAAAGGTTTTTGAGATCTGCTCCAGAGCAGACGCACGGACGGAGTGTGACAGATGCATGGACGGACAGAACTCGTTTCTAAATCTAAAAATAATCTATTGAAAACATGGCTTGTCAGTGTACACTAGAAGTAATGTTGAGCTGTTCCTATTTATTCAATTGGCCCACATGTCCGTCTTGTAAAGAGTAGTTCAGGTCAGGCAGGCAGGCAATATTATTACATAAATATATAAATTCTTGTAAAAATAGACACAAAAAAGATACAAATAAAAATTCAATGTAAACAACATAAAAATATGAGTACAAACATAACAGTCATGTCATGTAATAAAAAATTATGTAATGTTTAAAATTATTTGATTTTTTTTTTTTAATACTAGAATATTTCAAACATTTCCAAATGCCTGGAAAATCTTTTCTGGAGTTCTGAATGCACAAATAGAATAAATATACTGGACAAAATAAGTTAGGGATATTGGTATTTTTATGATTGATATTTTATCAGTGTGTAAATTAATAAATAGATCATTATTCATAATTTTAAAATTTACATATATCCCTAACTATTTTTGTCCAGTATAGAAGAGATCACAGAAACGTCCACACCATAAACAACCTTAGAACATAGAACATGAAAAGTTCAGAATGATTTCATACTTAGGGCAAGTACATAATTTTTTTCTGGAAAATGGAAACTAAAATGAAAACATTTGTGGAACAATAGATGCAATGAATAAATATTCTTGTATGTCATATTTGTATCACAAGATATTGTTTTCCAGAGTGATATCACACATACACACTCTTAGTGAACCAATGATTGAGAATTCCTCATCTTACCACCAGTTTCAAACTGGTGGATGATAAGGCTTGTGATCACCTAGATCTTTATCACAAAATATAAACTGAGTATTTCTATATCAGCAAAAACAAGAAGACATGGTCATCAATGTGCCCTGCCACAGTGTTCAGTTCCTATTCCTATATACCACATTTGGCTTCCCTATCTATAACGGTTACTGAGGAAATCTGTTCTCATTGGAGATAACTTGCACTAAGTCAAGAAACACTTGACAAGGGCCATAACTCTGTACAGAATTGTAAAATAGGTTTCCATTTTCGAACTTCATCAAGGCATTTGTGTCCTGAAAACACATATCAAATTTGGTTTCCCTATCTATACTGGACAAAATAAGTTAGGGATATTGGTATTTTTATTATTGATATTGTATAAGTGTGTAAATGAATAAATAGATCAGTATTCATAATTTCCAGATTTACATATATCCCTAACTATTTTTGTGCAGTATATAATGGTGTTTGAGAAAATCTGTCCCCATTGGGGATGTCGTGCATTAAGTCAAGAAATGCATGACAAGGGCCGTATCTCTAACAAATTAGGTTTCCATTTTCAAACTCCATCAAGGCATTCATGTCCTGAAAACATCAAATTTAATATCGCTATCTACAATGTTTTTTGAGAAAATCTCTCATCATCTCGGATGGATGGACAGATGGAACACAAACCTATCCCTCACACTTTGAGGCGGGGATAATAAATATTGGGAAGTAAGATACAAAGGTAATAAAAATATGCATACAAAAGATGTTAGCAGCATATATGACAGCATTGCAAGTGGCATGAAAACCAGGTCCACTAACATGTATCAACTATGTAAAACATGCTAAAATATGACTATTGGCATCGTGACATTTGGATCACAATGACCTGCAATAGTGCTGATAGCATATTGTCGACCCGCTGAGAAAAAAGAAAACATGCCACGTCACTCATAAAAAGACATACAAAACAAGGTAAGATGAAATACCAATATCACCAGTATGTTTCAACAGTAACAAGGAAATCAAATGTTTCATTTACAAAAAGGTAAAAGGATAAAAATGCTAACAGTGAAGATAAAGATCACAGACAACTGACAGTTTTACAAATGGTAAAAACAACATAAGTGCCAGCTTACACCAGTGCTGTTACAGCTTACAACATGAAGGATTTGATGGGCACACCACGTCACCTAGTTGAGTGTCATCCCAATATCTATCTGTCAACCACTTGTTTGTCTGGAAGCAAGTGCAAGGTTGCTTTGTGCAGATAAGTCAAAGAGTCCAGAGTCACAGCAATGAAGTGGTAATTATAGGGTGAACTAAGAATGCATTACAAATGTGTTCTATTGACAATGCATTAATGCTGGAATTACATATGAATATAAATGTACAAACAGTAGTGAGGTCTGACATTATATATATATTAAAGGAGGTGTGATGTGGTAACTGGTATGAAAGTTTGATTTGAAATGGTGGGAGATGTCACAAATGTCAGTAGTACATATGCTGCAGTAGTATCAGTATTTTGGTGGCCCTCATCCAAGTATCTTGGTATTCATTGTAGCTTTGCTTCAGCATCCAACTTCCCCTTGAGTACATCCACCTAAAACACACATCACATGGTGTGAGAGATATACTGGTCATATCTGACTTCAGATAACCTAGAGGTTAACATATGCCACCAGGTGGAGCACCATATCTGTAAATGTATAGAATATGTTTTCTTGGTATAATACAGCATTCCAGCTCTATGACAACAATCCTGTATATTGTATGTACAGTTGGATGCAACCCAGTGGTTGATAGCATAACCAAGAACACTCTGCCAATTTGTAGGATGACAGACTATCAACTGATTCACATTAGCCTGACCACCCAGTCAACTGTGATGACATGGGCATGTATAGGTTGGTGTTAAACCATCATGTTACCCTTTAACAGCTTGTATGTATAGAGTATAATATTTAGTCCTTTTAAGGCACAAAATTTCAGTGAAATCAAGACATGTGTTTAGTTGTTGCCTTAAATAGAAATGCTGAATGTAAATTAATTGTTAACTAGCCTATCCAGTGTAACTGAAACAGACTTTGGTCATGCTTGTCCTCTTAACAAGAGGCATATTTGTTGCTTACCTCTTGTTTCATTTCATCAGATAAGGCATCAGTTCTAGTCAGCAGCTTATTCAGCCATTGATAAGACTCCTCATTTTCACTGCATTGATGCAATGTCTGGGCACAGTTTAATTGCACTTCATCACTGTGGACACCTTCACGATTCAGTTGTTTCACCAAGGTCAAGGCCTTCTGGAACTGTTTTACACTGCACCACACAGACACCGACCTTCCTATCAGCATCTGGGAACAAGGACACAGTTATGTAGCACAGCCATTGAAACTAATTCATGGCCCATATTCGAGCTGGACTTCATCATAAGTTGTGTCAAGTTGTATCATGCTGTAAATGTTTCCTGAAGTACAATGTACCTATTTATAGTATTTAAGCAGAGTACTTCAGTAGCAAGCACAGCAGATAAATACCTTTTGATAGAAATCATCTGTAAAAAAATCTCTTTAAAACTTAGGTGAGGAGAACAAGGGATTATGATTTCAGAATGACAACTGTTTGATAATATTATAATATATACACTTTACCCTTAACTCGATTAGGATAACAGTGTTTGTTTGCTCTTTACAGCGATACGCTCTCTTCCATTAGGTTTTTCAGAGTAGCACAGCTTAGATTCAATGTCAGAATGAGAGAAATTTAAACATTAGATTAATCTTTCCTTTGGAGTTGACATAAACAAGGATCATAATCAGGCTGAATCCAGAATTTAAACTGTCATAGGATTCTGACATGCTGAAGGGACACAACTGTGCACAGAGAATTGTGGCACCATCCTTGCTTGCTCCACTTTCTTCTTAAACAATAAATGCTAAATAGAGTAGGTTAAGACCTGTTTTCTGTCTGAACATAGCCACTGCCAAGTGACAATGACCAGCTGTGGTTTACCTGGTTGCCTGGGAACTTCTGGAGAGCTCTGTCTATAACCTCTCCAGCAATGCCAGGCTTGTCATCCTCCACACACAGTACACAAACATTATCGTATGTGTCTTGCATCAGCATCCCTGGCAGTGAGCAACTCCCTCCAGCCCCAGTCAGATCCCCCGGCAACATGGTGTACCCTCACTTTGTGCTCAAACAGGCTATTATTGTTAGGAACCTGCAAACACATCATCAGCACATAGAGGACAAGTGAGTGATATAAGTGGAGTGTATGTGAAGCTCATACAGGATAATGTGAGTGATATATGTGGAAGATATGTGAAGCTCATACAGGATAGGTGGAGTGATATATGTGGACAATATGTAAAGCTCATACAGGATGGAAGGATACATGGATATATATGTGGAAGATGATATACGAAGCTCATACAGGACAAGTGGTGATATATGGAAGAATATGTGAAGCTCATGACAGGATAGGGGAGTGATATATGTGGAAGATATGTGAAGCTCATACAGGATAGGTGAGTGATATATGTGGAGGATATGGCTGAAGCTCATACAGGATAGGTGAGTGAGTGATATGTGTGGAAGGTAGCGATGTGGGAAGCTCATACAGACAAGGACAGAGGATGGAAGATGATGGAAGAGACATGGAACACAGGAAGGATATGTGGAGTGGACAGGAAGACACAGGAGACAGACACACATGGAAGACATGGACAAGCCCCACACAGGAAGACAAGCCCAGCACAGGATATGGAGGTGGCCCCATGGAGGAAGACACAGGAGTGAACCCCACACAGTGGAAGAGCACAGACAGGTGAGTGGACATGGAAAAGACACAGTGAGTGGACAAGCCCACACAGTGGAGGACAAGACAAGCCCAGGACAGCACAGTGAGTGGAGACACAGTGAGACACATGGCCCCATACAGGCACATGGAAGACAAGCCCACACAGGAGGAAGAGGTGAAGCCCCACACAGGACAAGGACACAGAGTGGACATGGAAGAGGTGGACATGGAGGAAGACACAGGAGTGGAAGACAAGCCCCACACAAGGACATGGAAGAGGCCCACACAGCCCACACAGGAAAGACAAGCCAAGAAAAGGACATGGAAGACAGGAGACATGGAAGACACACAGGACAGACAAGGAGGAACCCCACAAGGAGGCACAGACAAGGAATGCACAAGGACATGGAAGACAAGCCCAGTGGAAGACAGGAAAAGACACACAGGACATATGGACACAGGAAAAGACAAGGAGGTGGAGGTGGAAGGAGGCACACTGACACAGAAAGGAAGCATGGAGGACCAGACACACACAAAGAATGGACACACAGTGGACCACAGAATGGAAGGAAATGACCACATGGACCACGCCCAAACAGGCAAGCCACACAGGAAGACAAGCCACATGGAGGAGTGGACAGGAAGACACAGGACAGGTGAGTGACAGTGGAGGTGAGGAGGAACACAGGAGGACATGGAGGAGGAGGAAGCCCCAGGAGGAGACACATGAGGACCGACCAGACACACAGGTGGACCACAGAACACAAATGGATCGGACCCCAGGACCGACCACGGAGGAACCAACGAGACAAGGAAGCCCAGTGGAATGACAAGCCCAGTGGACAAGGTGGAAGACACAGGAGGTGAGGAAGACAAACAGATATGGAGGCACAGGTGAGTGACAAGACAGGACATGTGGACAAGCCAAACAGATATGGAGGAAGCCCAGCACAGGACAGGTGAGTGAGGCATGGAACACCAGAGACAAGGAAGGAGGAAGACACATGTGGCTTACAGGATAAGGAGTGGATATATGGAAACACGAGACAGTGTGGAAGGAGGACAAGGAACAGTGGATGGATGAATAAATGGAGGACATGGAAGGCAGGAGGGTGAGTGATATGGAGATAAGGAACAGGATGGATGGAATATAAATGGAGCACATGTGGAAGATATGGAACACGAGACAGTGGTGGAGGAAATGGAGGAAGGCATACAGGAAGGTGACTGAAGAGCACATGGAATAAAGAAAAATCAGAAGGAAGGACACATGGATGAAGCGGACCACAGGAACTGAAAGGACACACGGAAGATATGTGGCCAAATGAACAGGACAGGACACATATGCGGATGGAATGGATAACGAAAGGAAGGACAGTGGATGGAGGAAGGCCTGAACGACCAAAAGCACATAACGGAAAGCCAAAGAGTGAAAGGCATGGAGGCATGGTGGATGCAGCCCAGTGGTTCAATGCAGGAGGAAGACCGCAGTGGAAACAGTAGTATGGAATGACCAGAAGGGGCAAGGTATGGGACATGGACAGTGGATGGAATAGACGTTGAAAAGAAGGCATGAAGAGTAATGGATGGAATGGACGAAAAGGAAAAATAGCCTGACTTGTATGGACAATGGATGGTGGAAGGATCTGGCTGGATTAGGTGAAGGAATGAAGGAAGATCCAGAAAATTAACTGTGTGGCCTTTTTTAAATTGTAATGTCATAATGGTGGTGGAATCCCAACATCCGAAAGCTGCCGTGAGCTTAACGCCACCAGGATGAACGCCCTGAATGTGCTTGATGGTCTGTTGAGCCAAAGGTTCGTAATAGTCAGAAACCAGGTGTTGTTAGATGACCGATAAATCCCAAGCTGGCGACGGAACTGCCTAGACTGATCTGCCAGTTTGTAGAACACAATAGAGACTGTAGCCCAGGGACTGTAGAGATTTTGGTGCCAGTAGCTGTAGTTATTACTGAGTTAATAGCGGTGAGGTAAGTTGCCAAGGTAGATGCTTTAAGGTTCCTAGACAGTCACAAGTGTTGTAGGTATTTGGTGATAGGCTGTGCTGAAGCTGAAGTAGGAGACAGAATATCAGGCACCTTGCAATAAGTTTGAATTTGTTCCACTTATCAGTCACATACAGATCGAAAGTAGAAGCATGGATGCTAAGAACCAATAGCTGAAGCCACCCTCCTGGTATATCCCTTGGCAATTAGAGATCTTTTTGAAATTGAATGCAGATGCTACCACATGAAGATTGAATGTCAGTGGATATGCATGCAGTCGGTTCGCGGATGCACGAGTACATCGCCTCGTGGGTAGGTAGAGCTACTGGCTGGGTAGAGCTACTTGGCTGTGGGCTGGTGAGACGTAACAAATTGACAAACCAACTACACACTGGCCAGTAGGGTGCGTGACCAAAAGCAGTGCCATCTGCTTGGTGGACTGTAGCTTTGTAGTACTCTCGAGGTAGAAGGGCTGGTGACGGAAACGTTTTCCCAGGGTATGTATGGCCAGAGCGCCCTGATTCGTGAATTGGCGCTTTGGGATTGGTGAGATCTAAACTGGGAAGTTGATTTTGCACCTGGACATGGAGGTCGACTTGGGGATAAGTGATTGTGAAACAAGCCGAACTGAAGATCTGTGGATGAATCATCCACTGAATGACATTCTTTATCCCCGAATGTGTTCGTTCTTGCTGAGATTCCAAGGAATCTAACAGCTGAAGAAGAGCATTGCCCAATTCTAAGAGACTTTATTATGCCCATCCTGTTGACCCCAGATGATATACCAAATGATGGTCGAAGTTGTCGGACTGAATGAGCAGACTGGTCAATCGTAGCTTCTGCCCTAATTTCATTAGGCTAATATAACTGCTTTGAACTCGATGAGTGGGGTTGAACGGCATTAGATAAATTCCTCTGCAGACATTCGATTCGGCCAAAACCATTCAAATGCAGGTGACAAAAAGGTAAAATGGTAGGGGATCATAGAGCCTAAGGAACAGACATGGAATGGAACTCTTCCGCGCATTACGATGATTCATTGAACCAACACTGTAATTGATAGATTGGATGAAAGTAGTAGGATGTACTCATGGGGAGCCATATCACACTAAAGTGGGATTGTTGTCTCGCTTATAATGCTGCCTGGCTCACGCTTCACTGCCCTCTTCATTATTTTGCAGAATGCAACAACTCTGTTGATGTTATAAATCTGCGCGAGCCATTGCATTCTGTCGAATATGTAGTCACCGTAAATTTCACACACAATAATAAATTCCATGTGATAATGGTACAGTGAAACCATAAAACGGTAGTAAATCCAGCGAACCAGCTACTAGTGAACTCATCTATCGGTGATTCAAGAATCTCCACCTATAAAATGGTGTACCTCCATAAGTCAACTCCCCAGGATTTCTATACAAAATCTACTCTAGCTGTGTATTATCAGGTTGATCTCCATAATATTTGAGGCTATAAATGGTTGACTGAGTGCGCATATATGAAGTTGGTATCAGCTCTGGATTTCTATATGTTGAAAATCTACTCTAGCTGGTGGTGAATTGTAGATATTGTAGAAGGATGTCTCAATCTCTTAGAGCTTGTATACAATCATCGATATAGGCCTCAACACAATGTCTTGGCATACAGGAGACTGAGAGATGTGTTCCATGAATGTGGGTGAATAGCCACAGACCATATAAATGCTGGACAGGAGGACCCACAATAGTAGTGATCTGTAGAGCTGGTGTCTCATGCCGAGGGTAGGTTCGGCTGAACTGGATCGCCTGTCAGCAGTGAAGATCTTATGATTGGTAGTTTGTAGCCCAAGCTGAGTGTATATACAACAAAAGAGTTCTTCCAAAAGGGTCCAGTTGCAAGCATATGTACCAATTCTTCCACCAACCAGGGAATCTTTGATCGGGACAACTGGGGGTGGAAGGTCACATGAATGTCTCTGACAGTTATGGCTTACCGAATCCAGCTCCAGTTGTTTTCTTGTTCTGGATTGAAAAATGTTCCTGCTCTGAAAGGAATCTCGAAGTTTGGGTTTGTTGGAACATACTGTGCCGGGCGGCTGCATCAATTGTACTCTAATACTTGCATCTTCTGTAGTTTTAAGAAGTTCAATCTAAACTTATTTCGCTCCACCTTGGTAGAAAAATCACGGATGATCTCGTTGACTAGGTAAGGACTCGATCAAGGTTGGCGTAGCGTTTGTCCCATAAGGTGTAATCTAGTTAGTTGGGTTCCCGGATTACCAATACAAATATACTAGATCCCGAACTAGACTGTCGCAAAAGTCCAAAAACGTGGGAGAAAATGTTCATTTAACGCTGACTGGTGAGAACGGGCTAACTCAGGGTAGGACTTGAAGACTCTGATTCTGTGAATATTTTGTGAACTATCTCAACAGACAGATTCGCTGTGTCGCCTCTAGTAGCTAGCAGCAAAAGGTAGAGATGAGTGGGATCACGATTCTGTAGGGATTCAGCAAAACAGAATCAAAGGCTGAGATGTTGTATCGTAAACACAGAGGCTTGTTAAACATAGATAGTGAATGGTCTATTCACTTAGGTAAGTCCCGCCCTTCATATAAAAGGGGACAGCAAATCAACAGCCGAATTTTGCTCTCTCAGGCAGCTTAAGGTTGTCTTCACAATACAGGTAGTGTATGAATGTCGAAGTTCAAATATCTGTCAGAACTCGATAATTTTGATGCAAAATGAGCTTGGCTCATAATCCTTGCCATTAGATTTCTTTTATTTCGATGAAAATAGTGCACAAAATGTCACAAAGTTTTGGCGGGGTATAGTCTCAGCTGGTCTTCTGTCACCATTTGACTTCAAGAACTTCATGAGAATGTTTATGTCATAGTCAGTCTTTCTCCAAGCGATTTGATTCCCATTTTCAGATGTAATTGTCAATGTTTGAACAATCTTAGTTGAAAGAACTTTTGGTCATTTACCTCCTGAAAGAAGTTATCTTTCATCAATTCTTCCAAAATATCCTCCGGTAGGGAAAAACTGGAGTGGAGGGCCATTGATTCAGTTTCAGGAACCACAGTAAGTCTATGTTCGTGTAATTTGCCTTATTTTGCCATCCAAAGTTTTTATATTGAAAACACTGAATATTCCGAGAGGTTTAACGATGGAAGTGACACAAACGGCAGTCGCCATGTTTTGCCAAGACATCGCCGCCAACAGCACAAGTCAGCAGACAAACTTTTTATTTATTTTCAAAAAATGTAAATTAATTAGAATTTGTGGATTAAGACATATACTAATGTTCTTGTAGTGTTAATATTTAACTTTTATGTGTTTCTGTAATATTTTCAAGTAATAATGATCATGATATGTCTCTTCTAACTTAATTGGACCTAGTGAAAGTTGTAGAATGAATGAATTCATATGTTTGTTATGAATAAGAAAGTAGTTCCATCATAACGCGACTCCAATTCGAGAGGTCATCGGTTATCCAATCAAATCATTAGAATGCCAGCTGAAGTTGTTGCGCACAGGTCAATGCAATATGACACTCGTGGTGATGTACTTAGATTAGTATGCAACTACCCATACCTTGACGGCGTGGAGAAATAAATCTGTATATGTAACAGGATAGGTAGGTGATATATGTGGGGAATATCAGTATATGAAACGGGATAGGTGAGTGATCTATGTGGAGAATATCGCTATGTGAAATGGGATAGGTGAGTGATCTATGTGGAGAATATCGCTATGTGAAATGGGATAGGTGAGTGATCTATGTGGAAGGTATATGGAGGGTAAGACATGGAAGATATGTAAAGGACATTTAAGTATATGTATGTATGTCAAAGATATCTTGCTGGTTTGTGCTGCACATGTGAGATATATTTTGTTTAGATTCCTTCAGTCACCTACTATCCTCAGACTGGTCCCTCAATACCTCTCACAAACATTACAGGGCAAACCTTCATAACAGATTAGATAATGCCAGTCTCGATCTCTCCAGAATACTTGACAAGTGACATTATGTCTCGCAAACTCTATCCTCCTTCCAGCCTAACACACCCACTGGTCCTTCAACCCTATCACTGCTAGTGTCTCCACTTACAGTAGTACTTGGAAAACCCATATCAATACAAAAATTGATAAAACTCACAATTCCATTCCATATTCCAGAGTTCGCCCCTTGGACGGGGGGTTAGCATCTGACTTGGGCTGCTGCTGGTCAAGTTTGTCCAGCAAGAGAAAGGTTGTAGCTCTCCTCTTTTCCTTACACATTGATAGAGCTGTAAGGATACGGTCAGCCTTGTCATACTCCCCCACTCATCGATGTAGTGTTCAGATATTGTGTGGTGAACGTGATGGAATACAGTCAGCCATGGCCCAAGCCTCGCTTGGACATCAACTAGAAAAAACAAAGAAAGATATGCTGCTCAGAAATTAAAGCACACTGACTGTTCTGATGTAGTGTTTTCCAACAATAGTCTATAGGCTTACTCGCACTGCTTGCCATATTCTGAAAGAGTAGTAGCTATACAACGGAATAGACTCAGTAGCAGGTCAGAAAGTGATTTATTCAGGAATGCCATTTGTTTCTGCAACATTACAGGCCTCATTCAAACTAGATATTTATATTGTAATCTGGGTTTGAATACATTTGGCAGTTAGCATTTAACTCTTCCAAAAGAAAAACATAAAAGGATTCTCTTCAATTTGCTGAAAATGTAAACATTGCCAAAGCCAGTATATTCTGCACAGCTCTTGGGATGCTGGCTTTGCTATTCAGAGCTCTATTGTTTTGGTTTGAGAATTGAAACGTGCATGAACTACATGATATCACACTCTGAAAATATTTCATGCATGACTTTAAACATCACTGAATTTTAACCTACAATCAAAGGATCTTGATCACACTGTAGACATAGAGCAACAATCTCATTATGGAACAAGATTTAGTTCTATGGATGTATCAATAATTTGTATGAACATAAACTCATGTTGGTGTGGTGTTCTGAGTTTGATGTTATATATTGGTAAATAAAGCCTACGATAATAATGATAATATTTCTTAGAATACTACCTCCAACACTTGACAGCCGTATTTTCTGAAACTTGTTTTGGGTCCACTTGAATAACATTTTTTAAACATCCATCATCTTGTGTTGTCTTACTCCCTGTGGTCTTCCCAAGCACTATCTGTTGGAGTTATCTCCCACTTACATGAGCAGGAACTTCATAATGTTCCTTCAATGAGGTACTCTGGGATTCCAGGAGAAGTATTGGCGGATCTTAGCCTCAAGTATCAGAGGTAGTATTCAAAGAATACGTCCCTAGGCTTGATGGGCCCAGAGTGATCCATAAGTAGACTGTAGGTGGTTGCACTTCCATCATGCAATAGGCTAGCTTTCTTGTTTTCTTGATTCCTACTGCCACTTTACTTTTGGATACATCTTTGTTGCAGTATTCTGACATGAAATCCAAATATGGATCAGTCCTGTGGAAATACCTCTTGAGAGCTCTTACTGGGCATAAGAGTCTGTAAGGTAGATCCTGATCCAGTGTATGAGCCAGAGAAGGGATCATGAAAATCAATTCCAAAGTTTCCATTGCAGATTTATGATTCTTGGCAAGGAGTATTGGTAACTCTCTGATCATGACTCATGTACCTGATCTTAAGTCTGGGGCATGCAGTTCTGAAATCCTTGAGGTTGTGGCCAGTGCCATAACAAAATGCAGTCTTCCAAGCAAGATGAGATGAAGTTCAAACGGATGGTGTAATAGAGACGATAAAACCACTGACAAATCCCACTTCATAGTTATTAGTTGTTGGGATATCCTCTAGTTCAAATGAATATAATATGCTGGTAAGAACTGGATCCTTCCCAACATATATTCCATGCTTGGTAAGAACAGATGTTAGTCCCAAGCGATCACCTTCAATAGTTCCATGCAGAATATGTAAGTCGTTTCTGAGAAGGAATTTAAGAATCTGCAGTCATAGTTACTGTTATAGGTCCATTGGCAGTTCCTGATCTGATTCTATACAGCTGGAATTGATCCCACTTGTATGCACATAAAGCAGATGTTGAGGCTCTGAGTGACTGCTGAACAGCTCAGGAAACTCCTTCTGAAACTCCTGCTGCCTCAATACGTGTAGGTGGAGCTGTTGTAGATTGTGATTACACTTTCTCAGTAAAGTACAGATTCTAGTACTTTTGTTGGGTTGAGTCCCATCCAGGATTCGAATACTCTCTCTCAGAGTCAGGCACCTAATCGCCATCAAACCCACTCAGCCACTGCGTCTTCTAAATGGCATTGTGTATTCACAAAAGTGAGGAGTTAGTGCCAAGTGACAGGTGGCTAATACATTGATAAGGACTGGTGAAGGACTGGTGAATCTAACTCCCAGTGACTGATGACCTCTTGTCTTCTAGATGGACTCCCCATCCTGTAAGTGAAGTATCTGCAAAGAGATGATGATCTTCAGACGACATCCTGATCTGAGTCCCATTTATGATATTGTTGGGTCTCATTCACCAAGCAAGGTCCTTGAACACTAGATCCATAGGTGTTATGACAGAGCCTAGCTGTTTCCCTCTGTTTTGATTGATCTAATTCTGTTGGAATTTAAGATGTAGACAGCTTATGAATGTTAAATCCTGCAAAAATGTGTAGAGATAGTGTGTTAAGATTTCTGGAACTTTGATATCCTGGTTGTGACATCCTGATCTTAACCAATGGAGCTTCAGGCCATTGAATCTCTGCTGCAAAGTCTTCATGATCTGACATTGGTGGCACGGAGTCAGAAAACAAAACTTGCAGGGCTGCAGCCTTATCGATGAAGGTGTATCTGGCTTAGTTGAGTTCTGAGGGTTCAAGTGATAGGTCTAACGATACTGCTCCAGTTCACTTAATACAGCATGATCGGCAGTAGTGTAAGAGGAGTCAGGGTACTATTTGAGCTATGTGTGTGTCCCATGCTAGTCACCACACTATTGTGAGAACAGAAGATCACCTATGATTTACAAGACCTGTTTGGTCCTGAGGTTAGAGCAGTCCAAGCAGTCCCTTGGCTGGTCGCGATCCATGTGGTCCATGGTAATAGTATTTGTTGAATGGCAGAATCTGTTAAGAGTGATCAGCCCTACGTAGTCCATGCGACGAGCCTGGCCACCACAAATTCCACATCTTGGACTTCATCTATTTCAGCATGCAAAGGGCGAAAGTCATCCATTTAGATAGTTGTCAACAGATGTGATCTGTGCAACTACATCTAAGTTGTAGTGATCAGGAGATCTTGTTGACAGTTCTGATTTGCTAGCTGAATTCCTCGCTGCTTAGTACAAGCCAGGGAGCCTGGGTACACTTCTGCAAAGGTGATAGTCTATGAGCATTGTCACTCACAGATGGTGTCGTAATCTCATCCTTCTCAGTACTGGCCATCAGTCAGTCTGATAAACCCTTAATCAGGTCTGACAGGGAGAACAGGGAGCATCATGCTCACCCAACTCCGTCTGAATGTCAGCCGATCTTTCTAAATACTCCATAATTCTGGCAGGAATGAGGGAATTTTTTGTTCTCCTGCCTTTTCTTAGCTGCCAGGGCATATCTCTCAAACACTGCAGGCAATTGAGATGGACAATTATCGCATCTGGAGACAAAGGAGCATGGTGTTTGGACACACACTCCCAGCATTTCCCAGCTTAAACGTATCTGCTGCCTTTAGATTTACCCATCTTTAAATCAAAACAGAATTCATAAACCTAGGAAATTTGTAGAAAATGTTAACAGAGATCAAGTAAACATATGTGATCATGTGTGCCACAGGAACAATTATGAAGTTCCTTCACATGACGGTGTGTGTGTGTGTGTGTGTGTGTGTGTGTGTGTGTGTGTGTGTGTGTGTGTGTGTGTGTGTGTGTGTGTGTGTGTGTGTGTGTGTGTGTGTGTGTGTGTGTGTGTGTGTGTGTGTGTGTGTGTGTGTGTGTGTGTGTGTGTGTGTGTGTGTGTGTGTGTGTGTGTGTGTGTGTGTGTGTGTGTGTGTGTGTGTGTGTGTGAATTCAATGAAGAACGCTTTAAGAAGTCCACTAGGACGTAAGACGACACAAGGTGATAGACATTTAAAAGTGTTATTCAAGTTTAACATGTGGACCAGAAACAAGTTTCGGGAAATAAGGCTATAAAATGTTAGAGGAATGTATTCATACAAATTATACTGTTTGATAGACTCATTAGGAATATGCAGAAAAATAACAATGCATAAGATAAACAATACTGCTTATCTCACACCATTGAGGGATAACTGCTAATAGATTCACTAATGTGCATTAACAACAGTCAAGTCTCACCTTCAACATCAACAATTCTTCATGGTTTTTTTAAAACGTCTGCTGGTATCTAACTTTATCATAAATTTTTATTTAAATGCACTATATCACACTACACTTCTCTAAAAATACAAAGTTATGTCCCTTGGTGCACTCTTACGAATATCCTACACAGAACTTGTGATCGAAAACCAGTTCAGGAAATACTGACAACACCGTGTGTGACAGTTTTCGATGTTCGATATAAAACAAGTGTTCTCTGTTTGGAAGCTATTCGCCTAGAAGTGTCAAGTATCGATTTCAGGCAAGTCGTAAGGGATGATAAGTCTTTCATTGCATCAATAGGAAGCTAAAGTGATTGCCCTAATATGTATAATATAGGCTAAAATATTGTCAAAAATGTGTGACATTGTGCCTTTAAGCCAAACTATGGAAAACATGAAACGGTGCATTAAGTGCCAAACTAAAGGTGAATTATTTATGATTTTTTCAGTTAACTAAACCAAAAGTGAAATTAAGAGACTTGGGGGTTATATGAAAATGTATATCTCTTCATCCATTGACTTTACAATCAGCCCACTAATGTACAGAATATATAATTGTTTCCTACATATGAATGCTTAAAGTTATTAATGTGTGGCTACCATAAATGACAAGCTGTTCATATAACACAAGCTCCACTGTTGCCGATATCTTAATTGTATATGGATTAAGGACAAGATTCCTATATCTCAAGGAACTCATTCAAGTGAATGAACACACAAGCTAAATCTGGGTCCCGTTCCTGGTATTACAGTTACTAAATTCATACTTGGTGAAGGGCCTTTCAAAGTCACAGCACCACTTCTGTAGTCAAATGTTCTGAGCACCAGTGAACAGTTATGGAAACAGTACAGAAATGTATGATTATTATTCCTGACAATAATTCTAAAACAACTTACAGACATCCCAGAAGTACGGTTCAGCTTCCTTGATCTTGTTCTGTCTCAGCAGGCAGTTTGCCATATTCTCCTTACAAAACCAGTATGACTGATTATCTTGGTGAAACTGGTTGATCTAAATGACAAGTGAGTTGTAATCAATGCCACTTTGAGGGAATGAATATGTTTTTATGTCACTGTTAGCAAAGACCCACAAGAATAGGCTTCACACACTGTAACCATCTGACAAATCAAACACATGCCTCTGCTTGGCAAGCTTATGCTTTAACTGTTAGGCTTCCATGTCATTTTGAACAGTATTTCAGTCATGTCACTATATGGGCTTTATGTGGAAGTAATTTTGGTCGTTACTGAAAAAGACACACCAATAGAGCCAGACAAAGCAACACTTTGGCATCCTGAGAGAGAGAGAGAGAGAGAGAAAAAAGAAAGTTAAGCAGCCCTTATCCCCAAATGTACCCTTTGTCATATCTGTTGCAGAAGAAACTGTCGCCAATCTTGGTGCAAAGCTGCATTGAACTCGCACAGATTTTGAAATGGTGGTACACATATTTGTATCTGTCACTGAATAAAGTCCTAAATGTGCTCCAGGGAGTTCAGGTCTGGACTCATGGCGGCCAGTGCATTGTTCTGAATGAAAGAGTCACTGCTTAGCGATGTGGCCTCACTGAGGCCTAGCGATGTCATCGATGAATACAGGTCTTGTATCAAGAGGATGAAAATCAAAACTAGATATCCAGCAAAATGGTAACCAGTGGTGCTCAAGAACAGTGCTTATGGTGAATGGTTGTCATTGAGTGAGCCTCAAAGGTGCCCTGTCTTCACGATTTGACATGCACGTTGGCAATCCTTCACCTCATTGGTTTCCCTGTATTTTTTTACCAAATGACTGACAGCTGTAGCGTGGACATTCATTTTGCGACCAATTGTTATTCATACCAATAATTTCCCATCTCTGGCCATCTTTAGCCATAGTGGCAGAAAAATTGATTGAACACTGTACCCCATGCAGATAAAATACTGACATGTGGCACAAACACAAACTTAGGTGTTTATTCAACAGTCTTCAATACACGGCCTATCCATGACTTGCTATGAAAGAATGATTTTAGGTTAGATATCATGTGTTGAGTCATGAAAATGCTATTTGATTATTGGCTTCAGTTTTGTTACACCTTAGTTCATTACAATACAACAAAATAAATAGATACATATGTATATAAATGCAGTGAATATTTCAAAATATATATATGTAAAATTTAGCCAAACATGTAGGGATTTTCAATTTTTTTAAGTGAGTCCTTGAGGTACATATATGCATATTCTGTGTCTGAAAATGTCCTGTGGTGGTTGTAACAATGTTTTAATAAACACATTGTACCAATAAAAAAAACCTCAGTTACAGCAACTTCCCCACCACCACCACCACCACCTGGAGCTGTCCCCCATGTGGAAGACTGGGTAAGAGTTGGAAGTTTGATATAAGCTGTCACATAGAAAGCAAGATCAATCTAAGGGTGGTAGGTATCCGTGAGGCGAATACTGACATGATCATTATGAAATATCATCAGTGCCAGGTCAGCTGATATCACATATATGTCCCTGACCCTTCTACCAGAGGCCACTGACACAAGAAAAGCCGTCTTCCATGTCAATGAGTGAAGTGAAGAGAGGTGGGTGAAGCGTGGAATAGCCGTGGAGTGCGAATGGGCAAGGCTGCAAGACCTTCTTCCAAATGGCACTAAAATAACTCCAATATCTAAACTAAATCTGCAGCATAGAGATCTGAAATCCCCCTATCTGCACACCAGCACGCATAGCAGGCCCACCTATCCTCATACTGAACATGTGTCGAATCCTGCCTCGAAGCCTGAATTGTGTCTGCAACTGCTGCAGTGGTCCACATATTAAGGGGTGCTGAACTTTTTTACAGGTGCATTGTTATTTTAACTGAAAAACAACTTTTGTCACTCAGTCATTTTAACTCTGGGTCATAATCTGGACAATCTCACCTTGTATATGTGAAGAGCTTTCTCCGTATACTCCTGAACCATGGCATAATTCTTCCTGTGTGCATTCAGAGTGCCTAGATTCATATAATGCAGTTGCAGTTATAGGGTGTTCATTGCCGACTGCCTGGATCTTTAGATCAAGGGACCTGTAACATATATTTTAATATTTCAATGCAGACTTATGACATGTCACAATCTTTTCATCATGACTGGGGATCAACAATAAAACAATCTGCCCTGCTTGATCTTCACTGATCACATCACAACAAAGTAATATTCAAGCAACATATATCGTACTGTCAGAAGAATTCTCTAGCACTAGGAAAACTGGAGAATAAAATCTTGGGTCTAGTGCCTCTTGAGGTATAACTTCTATTGCTTCTTTGACAGATGGGAGTGTATTGCTTCTGTAAACTTGGGTAATATTTATTTGCAGCAGGTAAAGTGTGAGTGCTAGTGCCATGAACACCGGAATGATGTAGCCATTCCTTAGCGCGTGTTCATGATGGACGTGTGGCCAAGAAGCTCCCAATTTGGCCATTACTTCTGCAGTCTTCTCTAGTGAAGAATCCAACCCTTCAATAACTGGAAAGGGCCTGAAATTCCCAATTGTGCAAGTGTGCCCCTACACAGGTAGAACCTATTTCTCCTGCCATGGTCACAGTAAGATTGGTTCCATTGTTTTTCATATGGCTTCTGAAAGGGCTGGTTGTTGCCAGAGTATCTCTTATCCTTTGACTTCTGGATGCCAGAGAATCTACTCTTAAAAGAATGTCTCTAGGTGGACTGCCTATACATTGTATTCATGGTCTGGGCTGAATTGATTAGCATCCGATCCTTACAGTCCTGGACCATTTCCTTGTTGACCCCCTTATCTGATCATTAAAGATCATGGGTGTGTCCCAAAGTTGATGCAGGTGTCTGGTGTACAAGTTCGACCAATAAGAGTTGGACAGCAGTCCCTGTTGCTGTAGCAAAGTGTGGTTTGATGCTGAGCAGAATTTTTTTTTTAATTGATATTTTATTTCTGAAACCCTGTAACAGAAAATGGACCCTCACCCAGGGAAGTGAAGGGCCCAGTTGCCCTTATGATTAAATGTGAGGACAGTTTTCGGGCCTTTTTTTGTGTGTGTGTGTGCATAACTAAACACACAGACACACCCACATTCAGTCATACAACTGCACACATGAAAATGATTGTAAGGGACCGTTCATAATTTATGGCTGGGGGGTGATGATGATTTTTATGGAGAAGCACGTACAATGTGAACCCCCCCTAAAATTTATGTACAAAATAAGTGACCCCCCTGCATGTCATGTACAAAATCAATGACCCCCTTCCCCTTCCCATAATTTCTAAGCATAATTTTAAACATATTTGTATGTACAAAATTGCTGACACCCCCCCTCCCAAAACAAAATGGGTGACACCCCCACCCCACCCATAAAACCATCATCACCCCCCTAGCCATAAATTATGAATGATCCCTAGGTTAAGTAATTACCGGTAATGTTACCCTCCTCTGAGCAATTTATGGTGTAGTCATAAAATATGGTTTAAACTGTAAAGAGTTATTCAAAAGGTGGATAATACATCATCCATTTCCTCATGAAATCTGCTGAATTGTTATGAACCTTATGAGAATATTGTTCTATTTTATATCTTATATGAAGCTCTTTTAAGGTGTTCAATGTTTAATTAAAGCTATACCTTGTACTTTACATTTATAAATGAAAAATTTGCAAAGCAAGATGAGAAGGCCAAAAATGTCATCAGAGAAAATATTATGTTTTAAGCCTAGTAAAATAAATTGGTCATTGAGACTCATGACATGACATGCTGACACTTGGTGGTCAGTCTCCTATGCAGAATCCAGTATTGAAACAATTTGAACTTTGTGTCCTCTGTTATTTTAAAATATTCTAGGCCAGTTGAGATCTTGGTTAGCAAACTGTGATTCCCACTCAGTCATAGCTTTCCACTTGTCATTAGTTGCTGTGAGTGTGAAATAATACCACTTTGAACCTTTTTTAACTGATATTAAATTCTTGATTGAAAGTTTCATACCAATGACAGCTCTTTTTTCTCTGTTAAATTTTGTTTTTCTTAAATATTCTTTAGCTGATGATACAATGCTAATGTACTCGATAACCTTAATTAGGTCTGGACTCGATAAAGTTTGTTGCTGTTGTTGTCAACATCTATAAGGTCGCCAATTTGTGATTTTCCAAGGTCCAACCAATGTTCCCATTTGACTGTTTTTTTTCCCCTATTTTGATGTTGTCAATAAAGAAGAGAGGTTCACAAATCAAATCCTTGAAAGATATAATTTCTGTTCTTTCTAAGACTTTTAGGTATGCCTGTAAGCAATGTTTCCAAAAATGATATGGATCTTTATGGGCTTTATAAACACATTTCCAAATTTATCAATGTTTTGAAGTTCTGGATTAGTAAATAATAACAGATCCTTCCAGTTACTCACAATTTCAGAACTGACCAGTATACGAATCCGTACTTAACAAAATTGTTGAACATTTAATACCTAATACCCTGAAAGTGTTGGGATTCCATCTTAAGTTAAGGTCAGGTCTGTATTTGGCAATATTAATTTTCTTTGAGCCAATCCAAACTACTTCTGACTTCTCATAATTTATTTTTGTGAATCCTAGCAAAAATGTCTAAAGTTTGAATCAAATTTTCAAATGACGTTTGATTTCAATCCAGAATAAACTCATAGTATCATCAGCATATTGTTCAAGCAAGTGTTCTTTATCATTTATAACAATTCCTCTTATGTCTCTGTGATTCTTTTCAATAATAGATGGGCGGTGGGGTAGCCTAATGGTTAAGCGTGGGCTCTTCCTGCCGAAGACCCGGGTTCGATTCCCCACATTTTTTAATAAAGGACCAACAGACTGAATCAAAGGCTTTATGAAAGTCTATCAGAAATAGCATGCCTGGAATCTGTCCTTTTCTGTTCGAAGGAAAATATCATGGCGATCTCTAATATTATTACCTATATAACGATTAGCCATGAATCCTGTTTGTTCAGGGTGAATTATGTTTTGTAAAACAGTTTTTATCCAATCTTCTATACAGGGAAACATAAGTTTGTTAAGAGAGTGATGGGTTCCCAATTTTTCAAAGACTGTTTAGGCTTATCTCCTTTTGGAAGACATGTAATTATTCCTAATGTCTGACTTGCTGAGAGCTCCCCTATTTCAAATGCATAGTTAACCGAATGAAGGAGGAAGAAGCCCAGGTCCTTCCAGAAGAATTTGAAAATTATGCAGAAAATCCATCTGAGCCTGGGCTCTTAATGTTTTCATTGATTTTAAAGCATTTAGTAGTTCTTCATGTTTCAAGGAGTTTCTAAACTTTCAGATAATTGTTTACTCAATGTTGGGATATTACCATCAGACAATAAACTGTATAAATCATAACTGTGGTTATCATCCTGTTCATAACATTGTAATAAATTCTTGTAAAAGTTTGTTGTTTCTTCAATAATGTCATCCTTATCAGTCAAACCACACCATTTGACTTTTCGATATGAGTCATTAGTTTGCTCACAAATTTATATTTTCAAGACTACAATAATACCTTGATACCATTTCAGCATCTTTAATCCATTGTGATCTTGATCTTATAAAAACACCTTCCATTATGTAATTTTCTGAATAAAATTGATATTTTTATACTTATCCTGACTCATGCTTAATGCTTGTCTCCTTCCTCTTGCAAACGTTAGTGGAACACTTGTATCTCCTATTGAAGCTCCCTTCAATAAAGAACAGACTTAAAATCACTCCTCCCAAGAGTTATCTCCCCAGCTGTTTAGGGCGGAAACTGTGGCGCCACCGTCCCCACATGCTTCACTCTCTCCTGATTATGAGCCCGACACTTGAATTTGCAGGAAAACCAAAGTGTCTAGTGGGAGGCTGGTGGTTATTTCATGAGTCAGGATAAGTATAAAAATATCAATTTTATTCAGAAAATTACATATTTTCCTTATCCTGACTCATGCTTAATGCTTGTAGAACTGGACGGAAAAGGCGCAAGCAAGTACTTTGGATTTTATGTAGTGATTTTACGCCTCTCTACCCCCTATGGGAACTTCGTGGTTGGCACTGTTATGTAACTGCTAATCTGCTGCTGCTGCGACCCTGTCCTTCCAGCTGACTTTAGACGGGGACCACAATAGTTAACTTTTGGTCCTTTCTTCTGTTAACATTTTATGTGGATTTTGCGACTCCATCTCTTGATGCAAGCACCAAATGGAGAAGCGACCCATTCCTGTACAAGTGTCCTTACAAGTACTGGGTCATATTACTTATGCTAGTCTGTCCTAGACATGCATATAGACTTAAAGCAAAACTCTCCGGAGTGTAGGCTTTGTAAGTCATGTGGTAAAAGGGCGAGACACCGTCTCAGCGCCTTTGTGGGACTGTCAATTGTTGTGATACAACAAGTGGGCCGAAATGGTGAATGCCATAGCCGTCCTCAGTGGCGACGTCCTTCAGGTAGTGGTTGGCCAACATCCTGTCCCATTTCCAGAAGCAGCCTTCCATTATCGTACTGATAGAGCGATTCCCATGTAGAGCGAGCGTTGACGCCAGAGCTCTAACTTCATGTGGGTTGGAGACTCTTAGAGGATCAAGTCCTGCTGCTTTGTAGGCCCGTAGTATGACAGTTCTGATCCAGCTTGATATCGTAGTGTGGCAGACCTCCGTCTGTGTCGCTGTCGATATGGAGACGAAAAGACAATTGAATTTCCGTCACCTGGACCTGGATCTTTGTAGGCAGACTTTCAATGCTCTCAGTGGGTACAAGGATAAGACCTGCGTATCCTGTGGTCCAAGGACTGATGATAGTGTTGGGACGTGGAACTGTCTGTCTGGATGACCTGGCAGTTGATTCTTTGCTATGAAGTCCCATCTCAGTCCCATATGCACGATGTTATGATTATCATCAAATCGTGTTCTCCCAAAAGTTCAGAGCATGGATTTCGACATCCTTGCTGCTGTTACTAAGGTTATCAGGAACAGCGCCTTTCTGCGCCAAGAACTCGAAAAGATGTTCTCTG